CATTCGTCGTTCAAGTGTTGTTGTTGACAGAAAATACAGGGTCTAAGTTTGATTCGTTTTGAAACAAAGTCCTTATTGTTTAGATGTTCTCCTTTTCTTTTATTAGCATATGACGTATTTTGTATTTGATAATTAGGTGTTGGACGGTAATTCTTACCATTATTACGATAATTGTTTTTTGTGTAAAAACTTCTTACGTTATTCACAAACGGTTTCCTTCTCATTTCGTTTAGTCTTTCCTTATTACGGAAGTTCCTTTGTACAAACTGTTGTGGTTTTGATTTTATCTTATCCCTCGCATGAAGTGTCTCTACTGTATAACTATCATTATTCGATGTTCTTTCTTGTTTAATTCGGCTAGCTTCTTCTCTGGCCGAAATAATAATTTTCAGTTGCTTCCTCATGTCCTCAATAGAATCAGATATCAGTGAAATCTTCATTTCATAAATAATATCTTCAGGAAATTTCTCAGTGATGATAAATCTCAGATGATTATGTTCTGTATTTTCTCCTAACGCACCTAATACCCTAATGTGTTTCTCTATTTCATTTAACGTTTTACGACATTCAGCAGCTGTGTTGCTTGCACATTTGATTTTGTACAAGGCAGCGTAGTGAGCATCGATAATTTGGTTAGGTTTCCCGTAACGCTCTTTAAGCGTGGTAACTGCAATTTGATAATTTTTGTGCGTAATTTCCAATCCATCGATGATTCCTTTAGCGTCACCGCTCAATGACGACTTTAAATAGAGTAACTTGTCTACTTCTGGTAAATTACGTTCGTCGATATTCGAGGAAAAATGATCCCAAAACTGCTGCCACAGGAGGATATTTCCATCAAATTCTGGAAGATTTAACTTGGGTAGCTTACTGGTAACCACAGAATTATTAAATCGTGTTTCTTTAGACGTTTCCTTAAGATTATTCAATTCAGTAGTGAGTTCTATTAAGATCTCTTCAGACTTCAGTTGAATGTCACTAAATTTGGAGATATGGTCCGCCGATGGGTCATTACTAAGTTTAAAATAATTGCTTAATTCTGTAGAAAATCTTGTGTGTAACGCCTCTAATTTTTTGCATAATGTTTCTGCCTTAGCCTTATTGAAAGTAACCGTATTAGTAGTACCTATTAGGTCCTCACATTCACTAGTAAGTGCCTCAATATGCCTTATCACATCGTGAAGCCTTGAGATTAGTACGGACTCCATTATTTTTGAAATCTGAAATGATACCATCAAAATGGTAAATTCACTTTTGTTTCCTTATTTCAATTCAATGTTTTTTGCGTCAACAACAATGTCACTAACCACAAGCATCAAACTTAATTTGATTTGTTTTGGTTCAATTTTCATGTTAATTTTGAGAATTTAATAAGTCATTAATTGCTCCATACTATTATTGTTTAAACTTTAACAGTAGAAAATAATTTTAAAAATATTTCATATTTATTTATTAAAATCTCATTCACTTATATTGTATGCATTGTTCAATAAAATGTAATCAATTGACACAGTTTATCAATCAATAAACAATTCATTTTAATTCCCAACTCATTTGTTTACACGGTCAAATTCACTCAAGTATAAATCAATTGCTCAGAATGACTAAGAAGCCTTTCTCTATCATAAACACAAGTAGTTAAAACTAAAGTCAATAGTTTAAATAAGTTTAAGAAATACTTTCCAAAGTGAAATATTGCTTTAAAGTTTGGTGAGATTGGTAAAATGTTAAAGGTTTAGGTAGGTACTCAATTGAGTATTCAATATCACACTATGAGGTAGTTTAGTTTATATTATTTATTTAGGAGATAAATAATCACAACAAGAATGCATTTTGTTTTATTAAGTAAAAAGATACAAAGGGACACTCTTTGTGTCTTGTTGTTACTTTAAGTTAGTAATTTGTATAAAATAATGTCAATCATAACTTTGATTCACATGTTATCTCAATGAGTTCAAACTTATATAAGTTAGATTTGTTAAGATGAACAAACTTTATATTATTCATTTAGATGAACACATTAATTCATTCCCTCATTATTATCATTAAACATGTGACTCTTCATGTGCAAGTAAATCTCAATGAAAAATCAACAAGTACTTTTCAACCAAATTGGTTAATAAGTTGCCGCTACTGACACCATTGTTTACAAGATTAAACAAATCTCATCAGCGGTTTCTAACTGTAAATTCTATTCTCCGGATCAGTATATCTTTTAATATACTTATTCATTATGTTCATTGAGCTTTCCACTAAAAATATCATTAATTTGGATCCATCAACAAACAAGTAAGTATACTGATGCATAAACACACACAAAATACAATAATTTATGATTAGTACATCAATAATATTCTTGTTACTTTGAATTCTTATTGGATTACACCTGACCTAGCTCGAAATAAAATCATTGAAAGTTTGTAAATAGTTTTGTTGTTTGTTGTCAGAATTTAAAACAAGAACATTATGTCTTTGTTGAGTTTTTTACTGATCATGCAATGAAATAAAGAAACTTCTTACCCTATATTGCACTGATAAAGCTTTAGGTGATAACCTTTCTGGTCTCTTTTACTTTTCTTTCTTTCTAAATCCGTAGATAATTATCTTTGTAGTACATGTACTGATGTATATCTGAAACAACTTAAATCGATCAAAATTCCTATCTAGCAATTCCGAAACCTGTGGACAGATGATGAGGACGCTGAAACTAGTTATAAATTAATGACAAATCTCAGCTTTTAGTACGAAACTTTGATAAAGTAAATACCTACTTCCCACTCACAAAACGCCGTGGCCCAAACTAAAGGTTTCTCCTAATTTCTGTTGATTAAACAATGTAACTATACTCACCAATTGATTACTGTGTTTTATTTTGTCCTCTGCATTTGTGAACGATTTATAAATACGTTTTTTTTTTTGCAAATTTGTGCGACCGTTCACTAATGGCGCCAAATATCAGTGTGCGGAGCGCATATTCATAAAGGAAATAGTGATGTCCCTTTCGGGAACTGACAACTTTACATCGAAGGTCGATACGAAATCGCATTTTGAAAGTAACGTTCCCATACGCACGATAATTACTATGAAACACATAATTTCCTTTATAAATCTATCAATTTACAATACGTTTATCCACACGTGTTAGTAAAATGGTATAATAAGATATAATATCAATCAATCGAAATTAACCGTATTATTAATACGAAACATTAAGTTACGCAAACGAGTAACTTCATGTTCAACGACTTATGCTATAATTTTAATTAATACTCTATTGACCAATAGAGCATATCGTGCATATCGTAAAAGCTAGGGAATAAGTTTTAAGGTACCAAAATAAATAAATAATAAAACGGTTTATTAAAAATATTGTCTTTAATATCTTACATCTATAACATGTTCCGATAAGTGATACAACAAAATGTAACAAGGTTATATTGTATAGCCTTGTCATAGACTTCGCATTGGTATAGACCAATCAATAAAGTTTATTAAAATTTTGTCATCTTATGGTATCACATACGAAAGTATCGTATAATTTTTTAATCATTAATAGATTTTACCCCAACACTAACGATTGTAAGGGGCATTGTTGACAACACAAAATATCACCATTTTGTTTATATTTCCGTTTCCGTGCCAAGCCAATTTCTGTTTTAATTTTGTTATATGGGTAATTTGGTTCAGTAATATACAAGAAATTCGAGCTCATAAATTACGATTTGAATTTTTGATGAAATATCTCACACTTTTATTGAGAAATATCGTAAAGAGTAATGATTGTGTTTTTTCATTATACCTGTTGCCAACATACAACTTTGCTTAATTTGGTATACAAACAAACGTCTAGTGCTACCTTGTTATGGGTGATCAATCCACACCATTACCGTAATTCATAGAATGTCAATAATATTAGTTCGTCACTATTAAGAGGAACTCAATTAACACAGTGCCCTTAAGGCAATCCATTTTAAGATACTTGAAAATAACACTCGTCACTTTCGATTGGTGTTAATAATTATTTCGTCACTATTAAGAGGGATCTCAATAAACACAAGTGCCCTTAAGGCAATACATTCTCAATAAACACAAGTGGCCCTTAAGGCAATACATTTTAAAATTCGCTAATTGAAAATAACAATCCTCACTATCGATTGGTGTTAATTGATATTCTAAGCATCTCTAAGAATTTCGAGATAACAGCAGACCACTTCAAATAATATAAACATTCCCACGAACGAAGCCCTTTTCGGGAGTGACGTCACATAATCATGACCCTTAAATAGCAAAGGCACAATGATCCTACAACTCATTCGCCTCCCGCATCGAGCGAAGGTTCACTTGGTCTATCATAGACTATTTAGTTTAATTTAATTTAGTTTAATTTGATAAGTTAAATATTGTAATGTTTTACAAGTAAACTTTACAACAAATTTATATTTTTTAATAAGCTCCATTACCGAAACCTGACTGGCGCAGAAGGTAAGGATTCCACGTCGCGAGTGAAGAAACAAACATAGTTCGCGTAACTCCGCGGCTGGTGTATTAACACCACAACGGTGGAATCACGATCCGAACAAATAAATTAGTCTAGATCGGTACAAGTGCATCAAACATCGTGAGAGAACGGGCTGGAAGCACTGGTGAGTAAACCTTTTCACTGGTTTCCGTTTCCTATCTCCACATCATTCCAACGTTTTCCTTGTCCAAATCGCAAGAACGTTATTTGTATAAGTCCGTAGTTCTTTGAAAATTAAGATTACGCTGGCTACTTGATAAGTTAATAATAAGAGTTATCAAGAAAAGTTAATATACCAATTACTATTTATAAAAAAATATATATATTGTTTTAGAAATTTTAAAATTGATTTTTCACTAGTTGCTAATTTGTATACTTTTTTTTAAGAATATTGTGTTTTTAATTGTAATTTTGTGTAATTTATATCAATATGAAACAAATACGACTAATCTCATCGGATATAATAGCCATAATACCCAAATTTGAAGGCGATAGGAAAGTTTTAAATTTATTTATAAAAAAATGTGAGTACATCTTAAATTGTTATCGAGACGCGCAAGTTAGCCCGGCTCAAGAATTGTATTTATTCCATAGTATAACTAGCAGACTTACAGGCCGTGCAGCAGCCTTGTTAAGTGAACGAGACGATATATGTACATGGGAAGATCTAAAACATGTATTAACTCAGCATTTTGGAGATCCGCGTTCGGAACATTGTATCGCGATCGAATTAGATACGCTGAAGTTAAAACCCAACGAAAGTTTTACGGAATTTTGCCATAGAATACAGAACGTTCGTAGTGCATTGTTTTCGAAAGTAAATTTAATAGAAGACCAAGGTATTAAAGCAGCAAAAATGATAATTTATAACAACTCCGCGTTAAATACTTTTCTGTATAATTTACCAGAAGATATGATACGTATTATCCGGTTAAAAGGATGCCTCACTTTGAAGGATGCCTTAGCGGTCGTCACTGAGGAGGAAAACTTCCAATTACAATATAATTAAAAAAAAAATCAAAATGTATTGCACCTAAACCCTTACAAAGTATTCCGCAATTTAAACAAAATTTTTCACCTAATCTTCTGCCTAATATGAATAACAATTTCAAGATTAATAATTTTAAACCATTGCATAACCCTAATCAAAACTTCAAATTCGGTATTCCTTATAACATGCAAAAACCTATACAAAATAATTTTAAATTCGGAATTCCAAATCAGCATACAAACCGATATCCAAATCAACGTCCAAATTATCCGAGTCATCAATTCAATAGACCTGAATACAAATCCACATTTTAACTACCCAAACACGCAAAATAGACCATTTTCTTATTTTCGGAATCCGGTAAATAACCAATTTAAGTTCGGAATCCCAAGTACCTCACAAGCGCCGCGTCCTCAACAAAACACGGATGTTTCAATGCGCACCGTGGCACCTATAAGACAAAACATGCTGAATGATTCAGAAGAAACAAGTGAACATTTAAACGAGTTCCCCTCACCTTTTTACGATACAAATAATCAAGGAAATGAGGAGTTATTCTATGAAAATCCTTACGAAATGAACGAGTTACAGTACGATTCAGATTTTCCCCAATTTCAATACGATGACCAAAATTTTCCGATAATAGCCTCCGATACAGAGAGCGTGAAATAGTACAAATAAATTATAACTCAACTATGCGTTTGCCACACATAGAATTACCTGAATTAAATGCAAAATTTTTAATCAATACCGGAAGTACCCGTTCCTTTGTTAGCCCGGAACTGGTCAATAAATTCTTTTTAAATTATAAATTCTATGAGCCCTTCGAAGTTATAAGTACACACACACGCAGTACACATAATGAAGTAATAGAAATTCCTATGTTAAAAACATTTAAAACCCCCGGAATACATAAGTTTTATGTCTATACGGTAGATAAAAAGTATGACGGTTTAATTGGTAGTGACCTGCTAATTCAACTAAATGCGAATATAGACATGAAAAATAAATTACTAAAAACTCAAAATACAGAAATCCCTATTTTATACCAACCTCCGTACGAGATTCGTTTGCCGCCCCGATCTGAAACTCGAGTGAAAATACCGACCAATCAAACAAAAGGAGACGCACTTTTAAACTTCAAAGACTTCGGTAAAGGCGTACGTATGCCTAGTGCTTTGATAACCTGTAAGGAAGGTTTTGCGGAAACTATCCTTCAAAATACCTCTGCCGAATATATAATTATATCAATAAATAAACCATTTACTGTAGAACAATTCACTCCAACCTCTATACCTGTCAATCGTGTTAGTTTACAAGAAAATAATTTAGAAATAGACGAGTTGTTACGTCAGAATTTAAATAAGTTAAGGTTAGAGCACACAAATAGCGAAGAGCGGCGTGCTTTAACGCAGCTATGTTTAGAATATAAAGATATATTTTATTGTGATAAATTACCATTAACATTTACTAACGAAGTAAATGTTAATGCCCCGGTACATCTAGTCCCCAAAAAATTAGATGCTACAGGCGAACAAAAGTATCGCATGGTAATCGACTATCGTCGCCTTAATGAGATAACCATACATGATAAATATCCTTTGCCCAACATAACAGATCTTTTTGACAAGTTCGGAAAGTCTAGTTATTTTACAACCTTAGACTTGGCTAGTGGGTACCATCAATTAGAAATAGAAAAGTGTGATCAACCCAAAACAGCCTTCAGCACACAGGCTGGCCACTTTGAATTTGTTAGAATGCCTTTCGGTTTGAAGACAGCGCCTGCTACTTTCCAGAGAGCAATGGATAGCATACTACGCGGTCTACAAGGCATACATTGCTTAGTATATTTAGATGATATTATTATTTTTTGCTGTAGTTTAAACGAACACATACATAAATTAAGAAATATATTTGACAGATTACGCAAAACCAACTTAAAAATCCAATTGGACAAGTCAGAGTTTTTACGTAAGGAAGTTTTATATTTAGGCCATACTATAACAAAAGACGGATTAAGACCTAATAATGATAAAATAAAAACGATTTTAGACTTCCCTATACCTCAAACAACTACCGAAATTAAAAGCTTTTTAGGTATGATTGGATATTACAGAAAATTTATCAAGGACTTTGCAAAATTAACTCAACCTCTCACAAACTGTTTAAAAAAACGTAATAAAATAATAATAGACGAAAAATATAAAGAAGCATTTAACAAGTGTAAAGAGATTCTAACTAATGCCCCGTTATTACAATTTCCAGATTTTGACAAACCGTTTATTTTGACTACAGACGCCTCTAATTATGCGATTGGCGCCGTTTTGTCACAAGGCTCAGTAGGTAGTGATAAGCCTATCGCTTTTGCAAGCAGAACTCTAAATAACGCTGAAACTAGATACAGTACTATAGAAAAAGAACTTTTAGCTATAGTATGGGCAGTCAAACACTTTCGACCATATTTATAAGGTAGAAAATTTACAATATACACTGATCATAGACCTCTTGCGTGGTTAACAATTAATCAATTAATGAACCTAATAGCAAACTGACAAGGTGGAAATTGCGATTATCGGAGTTTGACTACGATATTTATTACAAAAATGGAAAACAAAATATCGTAGCGGATGCCTTGTCCAGAATTAAAGTAAATGCTATGGAAAATATGCTAATAGTTCCAATCGTTCGCGAAGCTCTCATTCAAGTTCCTCAGATACAGAAAAGCCAATAAGTTTAACGTCGAATTCTAATAAGACAAATGAGCAGTCTGGTAGAAAATCACCCTATTCAATTCCTACCTCTAGCACAGGTACTACTATTTCAGCCCCCGAAACCCCTAGAAATCCTCATTCTGATACAATACATTCCGCTCAGGACATCGAAACAGATGGTATACCTATATTGAACGAAGCCATAGATACTAAATCGAACCAGATTCTTATATTTACTTGGAATAAAAATGAGATATTAGTCAAAAATCTGTCTAGACCCAAACAACGAATATTAGAAATACATTTACCTACTAATAGACCTGATTTGGTAAGATCATTTTTAAAAGAATATACAAAACCTAAGGTAAAACATTTCCTTTACTTTGAACACGATACTCATAGAACTCAGTTCGTAAATGCAGTCATATCTCTATTTAAAAAGGGTACAGTTCAATTTTTTGAATGCACTCAACGTGTCATTTTTGTAGAAAACGAAGCCGAACAACGCGAAATTATTATTAAATATCATACAGGAAAAACTTGCCATAGAGGAATTCGTGAAACAACTTTAAAATTAAAACGCACATATTTTTGGAACAACTTAGAACAGACCGTGGCTAGTGTTATAAATTCATGTGAACTTTGTAAAAAAATGAAATACGACAGAAAACCCTATAAACCAGAAATACAACTAACGCAAACACAAACAAAACCATTTCAAGAGTTATTTATAGACTTTTTTACAATCGACGGAAAATATTATTGAACAATTGTAGATGCCTTTAGCAAATTAGGTAGAGCGAAGGAAATCCCCAATAGGTCTACTCCTGAAGTCATTAAAGCCCTAATAGACTATTTTTCATATTACGGCGTTCCTACCCGAATAAGTTCAGACCCGGGATCTGAATTTAATAATGCCCTACTCAGGGAAATGTTATCATTTTATAAAATAGATTTACATGTCGGTACTCCGCATAACCCGAATTCCATGGGAATAGTCGAGAGATTTCATTCTACAATTATAGAACTTTACAGATTAGCTAAATATGAACAAAAATTTTCTGACGCTGCATCCATAATGACCTACATAATAATGGCCTACAATGAAACCATACACAGTACAACTGGGCTTACCCCATACGAAGTAGTTTTTGGTCATACGCAATCTTCCAGTACTTTTGATGTAGATTTCAATAAATACTATACACAACAATTAGTCCAAGACCATGTAAAACGAACAAAATACTTATATAAATATTTAACCGACAAAATAATCACACAAAAAGAGAAATTAAAAACCAAACGTGGCGGTGAACAGAAATTTAATGTTGAAGTAGGAGACAGTATATTCATAAAGGGTGTGAACACCCGTCGCGCTAAAGATAAACCCCGTTACCAAAAGGCCGAAGTATCGGGCGAAAATAGATTCAATATTATCCCCGTTAAAATAAAAGGAAGGTCAACCAAAGTACCAATTAAAGATATACGACGCCCTCCACAGGTACGTCCCCCTTCTACTCCTGATCATGATGACCCGCGTCCAGGACCTTCAACTCGTGAAGATTGACAAGAATCCCGGAATATTACCTATAAAGGAAGGTCAAGCTGTCATTAGTACAGACAAATGGACTGTCATCGAACATTAGATTTAATTATCATTGCCGACGAACTACAATCCAATAATATTAATAAGTAGTTAGAATTTAAAAATTATGTTTCTAAAATTAAGTTAAATACTTAGTTCTATAGAATTTTATGATTGGTAATTTAGATAACGATGACACATTGCGATACGAACAAATGATAAAATAGTAAAAAAAAGGTTACTAAAATCTCCGAAATGTTGGGTAAAACCGATAAATTTGTGTTTCCTGCTAAATAATAAAACTTAGAAATATTGTCAAAATATAACCTACAATAGAATTACAGGCTGCTTATAAGAACCAGCAAATAACGTTCGTAATGCGTAATTAATAAACATAATGTATCCCTTTGGTAACTCCCGATAGTATAACTATTATTAAGTTTTACCCTTACCTGTGTTAAACCCTTACAACATTACTACCCTTATCCCACCTAAATATCCTTACCTACTTGTGAAAGAGGTTAAAACCTAGTCGCTTGCTCGCCCTTGTCAAGAAATAGATCAGAACCTGTATCTTTGCTACGAGGACGATATAACCACACATATTGAGGACATCTGCGTCACCAGTTTAATAAAATTTGAAACAAACTCTAGTACCTGCCATCCAGTTCCGGTGGAAATCAAAATACTCCAATTCAGACCCATCTATGAAAATCGTTGGATGATTTACTCCAACAAGCCAGTTATTTTAAAAAGAAACCTGCAAAGGTGAAATAACACGCGAACACCTGTTCGGTACCTACCTGTTGAAAATCGACAAAAAACAAAAAAAACCGCCGAGTTTCAGTTCAAGACGTCCGACTAAGGAAACGGCACACTGATGCACAGGAATTAAGATTTCACAAATCTATCAGACTTACTTTACCTGAATTACCACAATTAGTTCCCTCCTCCCCCTCGGATGACAAACCCGTGAATCTGGAAAACATCGACATGGAAAACCTGCAACTGCTGTCAATGCATTACGAAAAAATAGTGAAAGTGAAGTGTTTAACCCTGAAAGTGTCACAGTGAACAGTGTAAGCGTTTGGACCCTCTTTTTGTACTTTATTGTAATTCTGCTTATTATTAGTATACCCATCTTTTGTATTCATTAGAAATAAGAAATGTTTTGTATGTAAAAAAAAAAAATGCACGAAATTGTCAAAAGCCAATTCCTTCCGACAATTTCGAACTTAAGGAGGGAAGTGTTATGGGTGATCAATCCACACCATTACCGTAATTCATAGAATGTCAATAATATTAGTTCGTCACTATTAAGAGGAACTCAATTAACACAGTGCCCTTAAGGCAATCCATTTTAAGATACTTGAAAATAACACTCGTCACTTTCGATTGGTGTTAATAATTATTTCGTCACTATTAAGAGGGATCTCAATAAACACAAGTGCCCTTAAGGCAATACATTCTCAATAAACACAAGTGGCCCTTAAGGCAATACATTTTAAAATTCGCTAATTGAAAATAACAATCCTCACTATCGATTGGTGTTAATTGATATTCTAAGCATCTCTAAGAATTTCGAGATAACAGCAGACCACTTCAAATAATATAAACATTCCCACGAACGAAGCCCTTTTCGGGAGTGACGTCACATAATCATGACCCTTAAATAGCAAAGGCACAATGATCCTACAACTCATTCGCCTCCCGCATCGAGCGAAGGTTCACTTGGTCTATCATAGACTATTTAGTTTAATTTAATTTAGTTTAATTTGATAAGTTAAATATTGTAATGTTTTACAAGTAAACTTTACAACAAATTTATATTTTTTAATAAGCTCCATTACCGAAACCTGACTACCTATCGGGTGATACCTGTCAACCGATTTTATTTATGCCAACAATTTGATATCAATTTGTCAATGTAAGTATCAATGCATGAAACTCGAAACTTTCGTTCGTAAGTGCCTTACAACGATATTTGATGCCTTATTATAACACTTGCTCTCAACCCATCAATGCACAAACAGCTCAGAACCTTCATTTAAACAGTGCCTTATTGTTGAAACTCATTCAACAGGTGCCTTTTAACATTTGCTCTCAATTTATCAATGTACAAACAGCTCAGAACCTTCATTTAACCAGTGCCTTATAGTTGAAACTCATTCATCAGGTGCCTTTTAACATTGGCTTTGCATTTACCTTTTATTTTTTAACCTTTAAAACCTCATTTAGAGAGATGCGGAGATTTCCTAACATGACTTTATGCCATGTGTCCTACGCTCCTGCAGAGCGGTGTGAGCATGAGAGCCAAGGCCGTCGCCTGCTCCCCACGCAACCCTTGCATGTGTGCGCCCACATGCAAGAGTCGCGTCGCCCACTTCTTATGGCACTACTATGGAGCGTCCTCCATCTGGCTCAGCCACTATTCCAGCTCCGTCCAGACATAGCGCTGCGCATGCCATAACACTCTCTTGTGGCCTCTTGGTAGGGTACCCTAGGACTTGCCTCCTGCAGAAGCACAAGCCCTCCTCTTTTTATATTGTTATAATTATGTCAATGCCACAGGCGTTTCACGCCCATACACTCCGGCGCTTTCGCCGTGTGAGAGAGTATTTCTTTACCTCTTTTTATATTGTTATAATTATGTCAATGCCACAGGCGTTTCACGCCCATACTCTCCGGCGCTTTCACCGTGTGAGAGAGTATCTCTTTACCGTGCCGGTACCCACAGGTACATAGGTTAATATCAAGTGCGCAGGTAAGCGCTTATTTTTACACATACAAACTTTTCATGAGATGCAAACCGGCTATCATTTATGTGAACTATTCTACTACTTAGCATTCGTTATATTCCGTCGGTTCTCGAGCTCGTAGACAGGCACGCATCAGGTAGGCACATTTTTATGGCACATAACAGTTATTAAATAATAGTACAAGGTAATAATAGTATATTAGTTAAAATAGCACAACAAACAAGAAGAGAAAAAAGAGCGGCTTACTTGACATTGACATTAGTTATAGCGGTAATTGATATGTGTTGCCACCTCAAACATCGGGACTGGTGTTGCCGTCGCGACAATAACTAACACCTCCTCTCAATGTTAAATTGCAAACAATTTGATACTGCTAATAGTTATTAATATTTACATACTTAAACAAACAAAGCCTCCTCTCAAATAAAAATCCTAACATAAAATTACCACTACCTACTTAACTCAATTTATTAACAGCACCTATATCTTAACACCAAAATTTGGTGTTACGATATAGGTGCTGTTAATAAATTATAAATTAGAACAACCTATATATAACACTTATTTTTACTCAACTCTTAACTTTCTAACAAAGTAGGCATGCTTTACAGAATTGAGAGGTTTTGTAAATATATCCGCTACATTATCATTAGCACAAACATATGACATTCTAAATTTCTTTTGGATAAAAGCATCTTTGACAAAATGGAACTTTATATCGATATGCTTAGTGCGTTTGCTGTTTTCGTTACACTCTATCATGCGAATTGCACTTTGACTATCTATGAGTAGATAGGTGTGAACATCCTTACACTTAAATATGTTGAGAATACCTTGCAGATATATTATCTCAGCCGTTGTTGTTGCTCTCGCTATATATTCCGCTTTTGCAGACGATAGAGAAACGGTGTTCTGCTTTTTGGTAAACCAAGAAATAAGATTACACGAATAGAATATAGCACATCCGCTCACACTTTTTCTATTGGCTTTATCGGATGCCCAATCTGCGTCACTATATGCTACGAGCTTATTTTTATCATCCACTCCTTGTGTGTATAGCAGTCCTTTAGTAGATGTAGACTTAAGGTATCGAAGTACATGCTTTGCTGCTGTCGTCGAAGAGTCGACAGTCCTTTTGTATTTTCGCTTACGCTCGCCCTCCTCTCCGTCGCTTTGCGACCCCATTTTTGCAGATGGGGTTCGTTTGTACGAAAAAATCTATTTAGTAGTGCTTTTATCAGTAATTAATTATCAAAAAAAATAAAATTATTTAAAGAGAAAAATTTCCGCGCGCCTTATTTGACTTCCCGCCAAAAAGTCTATATGTAGCACTGCGACTACATTACACAAGGCAGGCAAACTTTTTGGCGGGAAGTCAAATAAAGGTGGGTACAGATTGGTGCAATGCAACATGTAATGCAACATGCAATGCAAGAATTTGACGTCCACATTGCTGCAATGTATCATGCAAGGTAACATACCTTGTAACAAATGCTCATGGTTTGGACGCCTCGCGCGCACGAACTGCGCCTGGGTCGCGCACGCTCCGAGCGTTACAACTCGTGCGCGGCTCGATCCGAGATTTGTCGGTTTTTAGTACGAACACAAAGGGGCGCGCAGTGTGCGCAGGACTCAGCCGCGGACGGTCGTTCGTTTCGTTCGCATGCGCAACGATCATGGCGGTGAAAGAGGGTGCGTGGAGTGATGACGAGTCACTTTTATTGATAGAGGAATACAGAACAAGGGAAGTTTTATGGAACCCTCAAAATGAAAACTTTTATAAACAAAATTCGTAATTGATTAATTAATTGATTCGTAAGTATATCGACTAAGTAGAGTGATGCGGGCAAAGAAAAGAACACGTGTGACGAGGGCTAGTGTTTGTAACGAAATGCGGGAACAGATGTTCTCGAATGATTCGTAGTCAATGCGCAGACCGCGCGCGCCACACGTCCAAGGCAGCAGGGAACATGCAATGTAAGGCCGTATACAGAAAGAAAGCCGAAAGCCGATAATTGACTACGAATCATTCGAGAACATCTGTTCCCGCATTTCGTTACAAACACTAGCCCTCGTCACACGTGTTCTTTTCTTTGCCCGCATCACTCTACTTAGTCGATATACTTACGAATCAATTAATTAATCAATTACGAATTTTGTTTATAAAAGTTTTCATTTTGAGGGTTCCATAAAACTTCCCTTGTTCTGTATTCCTCTATCAATAAAAGTGACTCGTCATCACTCCACGCACCCTCTTTCACCGCCATGATCGTTGCGCATGCGAACGAAACGAACGACCGTCCGCGGCTGAGTCCTGCGCACACTGCGCGCCCCTTTGTGTTCGTACTAAAAACCGACAAATCTCGGATCGAGCCGCGCACGAGTTGTAATGCTCGGAGCGTGCGCGACCCAGGCGCAGTTCGTGCGCGCGAGGCGTCCAAACCATGAGCATTTGTTACAGGGTATGTTACCTTGCATGATACATTGCAGCAATGTGGACGTCAAATTCTTGCATTGCATGTTGCATTACATGTTGCATTGCACCAATCTGTACCCACCTTTATTTGACTTCCCGCCAAAAAGTTTGCCTGCCTTGTGTAATGTAGTCGCAGTGCTACATATAGACTTTTTGGCGGGAAGTCAAATAAGGCGCGCGGAAATTTTTCTCTTTAAATAATTTTATTTCTTTTTGATAATTAATTACTGATAAAAGCACTACTAAATAGATTTTTTCGTACAAGCGAACCCCATCTGCATAAATGGGGTCGCAAAGCGACGGAGAGGAGGGCGAGCGTAAGCGAAAATACAAAAGGACTGTCGACTCTTCGGTGGATAAGTATAAAATATATTTTAAAACCAACTATACTCGATTGTTTTTGGAAAAAAAGTGCCGTTGACTATACGGTCTACGTAGAGTCAAAAGAAAGAGAGATGATAGGCAATAGAAATCCTATTAAACTAACCCAATTATTTACTGATAATATAAAAGGTATCACAAGTGTGTTCCGATTGAATGCCTATAAATTGGGCATTACTTTTCAAAAGGCTGCTGCAGCAAACAGCTTTTTAAAGCACGAGCACTTTCTGAATAAGCACAAAGGACAATGGCGAAATATTTGTTGAAGTAAATCTATAGCGTCTATAGATGTCATTATCAGAAATGTTAATAAAATAATCATCTCAAAAGATTTATTAAACAATTGAAAAATCAAAATTCAAAATTCAATATCGTTTATTCAGTCTAGGCTGTTACAAGCACTTGTGAATGTCGAAAAGCTACGCCATCGGTTCGCAAAACTACGGCGGGAGACCTTGTACTGAGAAGAACCGGCAAGAAACTCAGCAAGGGCTGCTTTTTTCTCCCTGTTTTATTTCATACAGTGTCGTCCAATTGAAAGTTGACATCAAACTTGCAAACATGTGTTGAGGTCAACTTCCATCACATAATGTCAAATATGTAACAATCAATGAATTTACTAACAATAAGTGCAAAGATAAGTCCCAAAATAGCAAGAAACAATTTTCAAAATAAAATGAACAAGTATATGAAAGGGAGTAAGTGCAAGGTTCTCTTCAAAACTCTTTCTAAGGCTGGGAGCCTTAGTTTTAATATAACTTTTGAAAAATTATCTACAGGTAAAATTACAACCAGGCCGTTTTATCATTCAAAAATTGAGGAGGGTTGTCTAAGTCTGGAATTAAAAACTTAAAAAAAAGGAAACACAATTGACTATTTATTTATTATTTTTATAGTGGCTTGGCCATGATGGCTTTTGAGCCATACATTTTAAGTGATTTTAGTGATGAAATCAACTTTAAATATGTTGTTCGTATGTTTTGCATCGCTTTACGCTTGAACTTTATTTAATTAACTATCAAAAATATCGGGAAACATTATTTTTCAATATTATACTGAAACCATATTAAATAATCTCCACAATACAAAAAGAGTATGGCGACAATTCTAACGAAAAAAAACTATAACTGTCACTGTCATGCTTGTCATCGAATTGTTGTTGTTATTGTTATCATTAGATAACATTGTTTGTGCTTAGTAGTCCAGTCAATAAAGGCTTAACTTTGCCATTTTGAGTTGATCACCTGCAACCAACGCGAAAATTTCCGCAAGGGTTCGTAGATTAATATACTAAAATTGCAGGGTGCTGCATTGACGGCAAA